GGAAGTGGCGCTGTGGCTCAAGTGGTAGAGTGCTAGCCTTGAGCTGAAGAGCTGAGGGACAGCGCCCAGGCCCAGAGTTCAGGCCCCACGACCAGACCCCAAAAAAAAAATAGTCCTTCAAATCTTCAAATATTTTTCTGCTTTACTCTTTGTTTTCTAAATCTGTTTCTTGTAATAAAGGAGTGATGTGCAAAAAAAAAAAATGCCTTCATCTTAGACTTTTGGCCTCCAAAACTGTGAGAGAGGAAATTTCTGCTGTTTTTGTTGTTGGTGGTGGTGGTAGTCATGGGCCTGAACTCTGGGCCTGGGTGCTGTCCCTCAGCTCTTCAGCTCAAGGCCAGCACTCTACCACTTGAGTCATAGTTCTGCTTCCTGTTTCCTGATGGTTAATTGGAGACAAGAGTCTCACAGACTTTCCTGCCAGGGCTGGCTTTGAACTGTGATCCTCAGATCTGTCTCCTGAGTAGCTAGGATTACAGGTGTGAGCCACCAGCACCCAGCTAAATTTCTGCTGTTTTAAGCCACATAGTTAGTTGTAATTTTTCTAAGGCAGCTACAGCAAACTAGTAAGTTAAAAAATGATCCCAGGGGCTGGGAATGTGGCTTAGTGATAGAGTGCTTACCTAGCATGCATTAAGCCCCTGGTTATCAGATAAATAGAAAAAGCTGGAAGTGGCTCTGTGGCTCAAGTGGTAGAGTGCTAGCAGTGAGCAAAAGAAGCCTAGAGACAGTAACCAGGCCCTGAGTTCAAAAACCCAAGACTGGCAAAAAAAAAAAAAAAAAAGAAAAGAAAAAGAAAAAAAGAAATGATTCCAGCTGGATGCTGGTGACTCATGCCCATAACCCTCGCTACTCAGAAGGTTGAGATCTAAGGATTGTGGCTCAAAGCCAGAAAAGGCAGAAAAGTTCATACAATTCTTTTTTTTTTAATGTTTTTTATTGTGAAAATACTGTACAGAGGGGTTACAGTTACATGAGCAAGGTAACGAGTACTTTTCCCTCCCCTAACCCTCCCCCCGCTCCCCCCGCCTAAATTGTAAAGTTCGCTTTTCAGTATGGTATCTTCTACATCTCATTGTTGCAATGGGTCAACCTGTATCACTATTTGAACATTTTGTTTTTTCCCTTCCGCACCCCAAATTATACCAATATCAAATACAGTGAAAACAGGGGTTATACCATGGGGGAGGGACATACAAGCAACAAAAAAAATCACATGATACCTTATAA